TTCGGTGCAGATGCCTTAACTGAGAGAATAAAATGCAAAGTTGGATTACCGTAACTGATTAACATTTTCAGTATCAGTACCTTTTCTAGTGACCATCAAATTTATGGTTACTTATTAGAAGTGCCGTTATTTTGCTACCATGTACTGGCAAAATTATCTTTTTTTTTTTTTATTAAATTTTCCAGATGGATATACAAAAATTAACATGCCCCGAATGTTTTATATATTTCTCTGCTTTAATTCTCCAGATTCAGATAATTGCAGTTTAAAGCCTGTTATAATATACTATACATTTATATCAGATGCGTGAAATCTGAGACACATGCCTGACCTGTAAGACATTGTCTTAAAGAAGAGGTTTGAAAACCATTGCTTCTAACGTGATAGATTTTTATATGGAAAAAAAAATATTGTGATATAATGAACTCTAGCTAATATTTTTTGCACATCCCAAATGTTGCTGTTATGTTTAGATTTGATATTTCCACAATTTCTCCATCAAATATATATATATAAAGTATTTTTTTTACATACTTTTAATCATCACTAGTGTCATTAGTACAAAAAAGTATTTTGACATATATATTGAAGACATATTGCCTATTCCTAAAAAAGAACACTTGAACAAAAAGTGGGGTATCATGTGCAACAGACATCCTTCACAAGTTTAAGATTCCCATTGAACTGTGTCCTTGTGATATTAATAGAGTGCTGTATGTTCTTTCCACAGGTTCATTAAGAAACGATGGCCAGTAAACTAGAGATTCCTCTTCATGAAGAGATGTTTACAATAATGAGACAACATGGAGCCAATCTGGGCAACATCCTGGACACTAAATTCAGATGTGTTGCTGCTGTTTGGGGTGTAAAGCTGGAGAATCAGAGCAGCACTCTATACCAGAGAGGACCATCAACCATTTTTGCAGAGATGAGGCTTGAAATCATGATGCCTTCAGGTGTAAAGGTGTCTGTATGGAAGGCTGATCTCACCACCTTCCCTAGCGTTGCTGTTGTGAATGCAGCTAATGAAAAGTTACAGCACTATGGAGGCCTTGCTCGAGCTCTGTCCTCTGCTGGTGGTCCTCAAATTCAAAAGGAAAGTAATGATTATATTAAAAAGTATGTAAAATTAGAAACAGGGGAGGCAGTTGTTTTTGATGCAGGGCTACTACCATGCAAAAAGATCATTCATGCTGTGGGTCCAGAGCTGCCATACAAACCTACAAAGAACGATGTGTCAAAAGCGAGGACATTTTTGAAGAAAACTATCTTGAGCATTCTTAACGAAGTTGAAGAACACGGTCTGGGGAATGTTGCCATTCCTGCCATAAGCTCTGGATTGTTCAACTACCCACTGCCAGAATGTGCCTACACCATAGTGTCTACTGTTAAAAAGTACTATGAGTGCAAACGTGTTGCTCAAGAGGTCTTCCTTGTGAACCATGATGAACCCACAGTGCAGGCCATGGAGACAGCATGCCATCAGATATTCAGGCCTCAACGGAATCATGAAAATGTAAGGATCAATTAAAAATATATTTTAAAGAATAGATGATTTATTACAGTGGTAATTAAACAAAAATAACCTGTTTTGCTTGTTGTTGACAATGTGATTAATTTATTGACTTTATTGATCTCACAGTGGGGAAATGTTCTTGGTACATCGGCTCAAATAGTCAAATAGTCAAGATGAAGAATGTGCCAAAGGAAGAAAAAGGTGCAAGGGATATATACAGGGATGGGATATATGCTGTGGTGCTGCTCAGGCTCTCTCTGTTTGAGCTTAATTCTCTTTTTGATACCTCTAAATTACTCTAATTGTCAACAAGCACCTTTAATCACATTTTTAATGCTGCACTTTTATACTGGGCACCTTTTGGCTTCACGCAGTCTTTATTTCTGGTGATTGAGTGATATACCAGCTGAGAAGCCCACTCTGGTCATCGGCAGCTCCATCAGACTCCATAATTTTCCCTCCCTGATCTGACCAGTGATGACACAATTAGCTGCAGGTGGTGTCCCGAAAAAAAAAAAAAGATAATTGGCTATCTTTTGGGGGAAAATCTGGTCTGGTCTCCACTGCAGTATTATTCAGCGATATAGAGGAGATAAACAGGCAAAGAGATTCTTTAAAGTGTCTTATTGCATTTCCGGACTATAATCTGCAAAAGTGAAACTTTCTTTTGGGGGTTAAGTAATTATGAAGGTTACTAACAAACTGTTTAAAAATTCATCTTATGTTGAATAAACCACATATTTTTTTCACATTTTTCTCAATTGGAGTAATTTTAATCTTAATTAGATTTTCATGATTTACTATTTTAGGATTATTTTATGATTAATTAGATTTTGGTCGTGGGGAAGACTCTGTTTGGAAGGAGTAATGAGTGGGTAACAGTAGAGAAGCTGCAGAGAGGTGTGTTAAACTTTGATTCTGCAACCTGGGTTGTCAGGTTTTGGAGGACTAATCCATTTGTCCAGATTCCTAGAAAGAAGAGCTGCACCATCTAAAGTGGGATGGATGCCATTTCTGACTGTATTGTCTGTATGTGTCGTGAATCGGCGCTATAAAGTGAACTGAATCGAGTTGGATTGAATTATTTCTCCAGTGACACAGCTTTTTTATACTGTTAAAAAAAAACAGGGTCTCAAAGACTAACTGATGATGGATGGATGGACGGACGGACGGATGGCTTCTTTTCTATTGATAGATTTTTTTCTTGTAGTAATAAACTTGCTATTTGTCCTCTCTAACCAGGCCTTTAAAGAAGAAAAGGTAAACTTCCGGAAAGGATCACAACATTTGAGCTCTCCACATAGTAAGGATAAATATTTGTCTTAATCAGACACCATTTCATGTCCAAAATGAGTTTAATTTAAAATGCTCCTGCCTTCATGTGTTTATAAAGCCACTATATGGTGGACAAACTTAACTCAGTTATTGAGCGTAAACATTTACTGTCTGATTAAAATTGAAACCTGTCCACAGAGGGATTAGGGCTAGGAGTGAAGTGCAGCCTGAAACACTCTCCAGGTCAATATTCGGGGTCCCAACCCCATCCGACACCAGAAGGTGAATACAGCACCTACAGCAAATTCTTGCTCCACATGAAAAGGGATACATATTTTTACATCTTACAAATATATTTAAAGGTTTTATTTTAAATATCATTAGGAGTAAAAGAGTTGTGTAACATTTCATTTAACAGCATCTGGGCGTAAAGCTGATTCCTACATTAGGAGAGCTTCAACTCCACACCTCATCCTGCTTGGTCCGTCTGATGAGTCAACACACGAGGCTGAGAAGTGGCTCAATTGTCTTCTCTCAATGCAATCTCACACCATTACGATCTACAACAACTTTATCTCACACTTCAGGATGGAAGACCATCTCAGGCTAGGGTCATCAAAAGGGTTGTTAATGAAAAAGTACTTGATTCAAGGTCATGCATGTATAGAATTAACCTCAAAGACAAAGGAAGAGACTGTTCTTGCTGCTCTGGAGGTGGAGGCCATGCTCTGTAAAATCCAGAAGGAGTTCGTCTCAGAGGAAGAAGGTGACCTGCAGATGTTGTCTCAAACAGAGCTATCCTGTAAAAGGGAAGCAATTGAAAAGTCAAGTAAAGAATTCTTGGATCGATCTGCTGTGTTCGGCATTCACGGGCTCAGAGTAATGAAGGTAAATATGTTCAAACACCTGAAGATGTCAGTCAGCCTGCTTCCTTAACATTTAGCTGACCTCCCAGTTGGATTTTGGAGGTCAACACAATGATTCATAAACATTAGACTAAACCTAATAGACCAATTTTTAATTTGATAATCAAATTTACCTCATGGTTGTGATTTACATCGGATCTATAATGTTCTAAAACTGCATTTTTTTAGGTGGAAAAACTGGAGAACAATCCTCTGAAGTTGATGTTCGACCTGAAGAAAAAGCAGCTTGGCAGTTCATCTTCTAGAACCATGTTTCAGTGCATCCCAGCACAGTTCTGTGAGATGATCAGTAGGATTGGGTTCCAGGCTGAGTGTTCACCGCCTGAAGGTAAATCACCAAAACTATGAGGGGTTTG